AAAAAAAAAAAAAAAAAAAAAAAAACAATCTCCGTATGATAAATATTCGATCCCGACGTATCGTCTCCATCGTATCCGAGCATCGTCCTTGCGTCACAGTGACGAAACGCCTAATAATAAATCTCGCCACGGCGAAAAAAGAAAGGCGAGGAACAAGCGCCCTTTATTCCATCGGCCTGTTGTTCCTCCTTCGCCGATTTCGAGCCGCGTGAAAGCAGCGGCGCTCGCTTACGATTCTGATGCAAAGCGGGCAACGGTTTGTTCGTTAACCGTCGATAGAGAAATGAGAATCTTTTCTTTCTATTCTCGACGCCCGGTTTCGCCTGGCCTGGCGGCGATTTCGTCATAGAGAACGGTGAAACGCCACATGCCGGCTCCACGATACCGGCGCGCACACTCCTCCTCCGCTTATTCTGCGAGTAAATAAATCTGCTTCCCCTCTTCTTCGATCTCCATCTCTCGTGTTTTCCACCGAATTTTGGAAATTTTATTCCCCGCTAACGAAGAATATATTTTCGCCTCCGTACATTTTTTTTTTTTCTTTTCTTTCGCTAGTTTTGAATTTCGAACTTTTCACAAGTTTGTTTTTGTATCTATCGAATTAAAGATCGCGACTTTTTTTTTTTTACTTCATCCTTTTCGTCGATCCGGAAACTCTTGAAGAGCAAACTCTTCTTAAAATCGTTTTGTTTTTTTTGGACGTTGCTTCAATTTCCTTATCGATCCACAATATTTTCTCCGTTACATATCGATCTTCTTTATCCGTCTTCCGTATCGTTTCATTAACAAGAATTTCCCTTTTACGTTTATTATTCTTAACTTCCGTAAACATTATAATTATAAAATAGATGAAACTAAAAAAGAAAAATCCTCTTATCTAACGTGCTTACACATATCTTCTTTAATTAATTGTGACAAAAAAGAATATTATATCCAACCTGTATTATGAAAATTAATCGATTAAGCATAGCAATTTTTCTCTATCCGAGAGCGAGCGAGCGAGAGAGAGAGAGAGAGAGAAAGAATAATCCAACTTCGAACGGTATTTCGTCATAGAGAGGCGCACCAC